TGGACCATGACTAGGGAAAAGGCCTCAAAAAAGTGCAGATTATTTGGATTATTTTTTTTTTCAAGCATGTGCAAGGTGAGCTTGTTCTTTGGTCAGMAAAATTAAATCTTTTGGTCATCATTTGCACGTTTTTTTCAGATTTTCTTTATAAAGGTCATTCTAATGTCAACCTTCAAACATTATTTTGTCATAATAAAAATGCAATTTCATGGTATGAATTTATTTAATTGTTTATGATTTTTTTTTTGTAGCTTTTGTTGTTCTACTTCATCTCATTAAATAAAGTTAATAAAGGACTGATGCAGTTGAATTTGACAAAAGCTGCTTTTCACAAAGACAACATGCCATGGATATAATTTTTAGGGGGTTATGGCCCCCACTATAATTTGATCCAGTCATCACCCCCCCCCCCAAAAAAAAAAAAAATACATTATTTGCACTAACACGTTAGAAATTAGAATTGGTTAATTACAGAGATGCAACTCTCTTGTCTTTAGGTAACTTTGACCTGATAAAAAAATTCACTGCCGTATACAGTATGTTTAGGCATAATTGCTGAAAATGATTTGCAAGATTTTAGAGCATAACCCCCTAAATCAGGGGTYTGCGACCAGCAGCTCTGGGACCATGTGTGGCTCTTTGAAAATGTGACCAAACATAACAGAATATTTTTGTTTGTTTTTTATACTCACAACAGAAATTAATTTGTATGCAAAAACGTGATCAATACTACTAATAAAAAAGTAAAACATGTTAGCTAATGCTAGCCTGTTGTTTACTTTAATAATCCAACTTTTTTCTCTCAAATCCATTACACTTACCTTTAAAGAATTTGAAGACTACGTATAAGAATTAAAAAATATATATACCTAAATAGTTCAGTTGTACTAGTTTTTATGAAATTCAGGATAAAATATATACAGTTTTTTTTTGTTTACCTGAATGTGGTCTTTTCATTTATCCTGATGTGTAAAAATAATAAAATTCACAATATTTATTAATTTTTTTGTTTTATAATGCTACCTCCAGTGGCCGTAAAGGTGCCGAAAAAGGCCTTGAAAAGGCCCACGAACCACCAGTTGATAATCACAGTTGCAGTTTGTTTTGCGGCTCTGGACACATTTTATTAGTGCATCTAGTAGCAGAAATGGCTCTTTTGATCATCAACGTTGCAGACCCCTGCCCTAAATGATAGACCTAAAGTTACGCCTTTGCAACATGCTTATCTACAATAGTTTCATTATTTCAGCTCAAGTCATTTATTCCAGAACAAATGTCAAAATACATTCAACTTGATGAAAAACTCATAAACAAGTGGTGAAAGTGAATTCCCTTCCAGGACATCTTTTTGTACAATGATTAAAATCTATGTGTCCTCAAAAATGCTCATTTGTTTACCTGCTGTTTCTAAATTCAAATGAACTTTCATTTTGTTTAGGGCTGTCCTCTTTAACGTCATGGCAAGAATAAAAGTGTTCTGAAAATGTAATGCCATCGTCTTCCAGGTATGCTCCAGGAATGAGCTAAAATTAACTGTACTTTCAGATCTCTACTGTGACGATCTACCCATTGAAAAGGCATAATCAGTGGCCAAAATGCGTAGTGTCAACATTGTAATGCTATTTATATTTTTTTCTGGACATCATTGGATTTTGGTAAAAGCATTTAAACACAAATGCAGATAAAACGGATATATAT